GGCCTATTTTGGGCTTATTTAATGAGACAAATGCTCATCTTGTGAAAATCCAGCTACTTTTGCGTTAGTATAGAAGCTTGTTAAATGATATTCAGCTTTTCCTGATCTTACAGAATGCTTCTGAGTGTCTTTTTTGTTTTATTTGTTTTGGTTTGCATTCTTGTTTGTTTTGGTTAGTTTTGAGTAAAACCAAGATAAAATCACATTATTATTAGTTGGCTTACGATCAGGGGTGGGTTGCTAATCCCGTTCCAACCGGTTCGGTTGGAACGGGGCCGGCGGCGTCCTCGTGCACGCGCGCAGTTCACACATGCATCTTAGTGCCTGCGCGATGCTCCAGCTGCTCGCGGAGACTCACACAGGCACTGTATGTGCCATCCAGCTGCTCGTGGAGAATTGCACAGGCGCTGTATGTGCCATGCACCTGCGTGAAAGCGAAGAAGCCTTCAAAGACCGGTAAGGAGCGCGGGCGGGCGGGTTGGCCCTTCGCCGTTCCAGAAGTTACTTACGTCCGGGTTCGCCGACCAACCGGTTCGCGGGAACTGCCGCAAACTGGTTGAAACCCACCCCTGCTTACGATGTTCCAATACAATTATATTTAGAACCATGAACGTGATTAGCTTTTTTAAAAAACAAAACAAAACCCAAGCTCTATCTAAACCAGGATAAAATCAAGGTTTTGGTTGATTTCTAGGCATACACCAAATTTTTATTTACTGTATTTATTTGTTAATTTTTTTTGCTATTTATCTCACCATGGGACTACTCTCGAGGGCCTACAATAATAAAAAAGAAGAAAATAAACAGAAGTAAAATAGAATAAAATAATGAAAAAGGAACACAGTAAGAACACATAAATATGATAACCAAAAAGATGGAGGGGTAGAAATCAAAGAGCAAGGGTGGAGAGATTAAGCCTGTCATCAATCCAGCAGCCATCTGTAGTTGGAACTCCCCCATAAATTCAATACGGTGAGGAGGAGGAGGGGGGAGGGGGAGAAGGAAAAGGAAAAGGAGAAAGTCCAGTTACCATGACTCAACTTCCAGACAACTCTACCTGGATGATTGATAATCTTCAACAACTCAACATAATGTTGTAAATAAAATGTAACCAAGAAGACAAACTGTTTGGACAGCTGGAGATGAGATCTCCTGCTCTTGTATCAACAGTTTCAATAAGTATTTCAGCCTCAAATGTGGGCATATTAGCAACTCTTTACTTGCATGGTCTCTGGCCCCTTTCTTTCCCTTTGAGAAGGTTTCCACCCTGAGGAATCGGCTCTATTCTCTGCCTTGACATTATGTTGCATAAACAGGTGTGGGAGATAATAAGGTACACCAGCAGGTGCCTTCTCATTGTTCATCTGTCATCTTCCTAAAATATTTCTTCCTCCAATATTTCCCCTTCCCACTTCATAGGAGTTGCCTTTATGTTCATCAGTCACTGAGTCTTCAGTCATGCTCTACTTTGTAGCTTACTCATGAAGAGCCTGATGTTTTACCTCCTCCATATTGAGTTTCAACTAATTGGGACAGCTTGCAAATATTGTAAATCAATAAAGACACCCCCCCTCTTAATCAACACTGAATCATGGTGCCTTAGGAATACTTTCTTGACATTGTGACCAAGGAAATTATTTTTTTTAAAGTACCAAATCAGAAACTTTATAGATATCCTGACTGAAAGGAATCTTAAGGAGACAAGTTTCTAAGTCCAATAATTTGTTGACAGAACAACTCGGACTATTTAAAGAAACTGAAAGGAATTCTGATACTTTTGTGAACAGCTTGGTTTTTCTAATAACAATTTTTACAGATGGTTAAGTGGCTGAAAGCAGAGCTGGGTTTCTATTGTTTCCAGGGTGTGTTTTTCTAAAAAAAAAAAAAAAAAAAAAACAACAACTTTAAGAGACATAGATTTTACCATATATTTTTTTTACAAAAGTATCAGAATTCCTTTNTTCTGCTTCCTCCTCCTTTCCTCCTCCTCCTCCTCCTCCTCCTCTTCCGCTTCTTCTTCTTCTGCTTCCTCCTCCTTTCCTCCTCCTCCTCCTCCTCCTCCTCTTCCGCTTCTTCTTCTTCTGCTTCCTCCTCCTTCTCCTCCTCCTCCTCCTCCTCCTCTTCCGCTTCTTCTTCTTCTGCTTCCTCCTCCTTCTCCTCCTCCTCCTTCTCCTCCTCTTTCTCCTCCTCCTCCTTCTCTTCTTTCCTTTCTCCTTCTTTTTTTCTTCTTCTCCTTCCCCCTCCTCCACCTCCTCCTCTTCTGCTTCTGCTTCTCCTTCTTCTGCTTCCTTCTCCTCCTCTTCTGCTTCTGCTTCTCTTCTGCTTCTTTCCTTCCTCCTCTTCCTCCCCTCCCCCTCCTCCTCCTCTTCTCTCTTCTTCTTCCTCCTCCTCCCCCTCCTCCTCCCATTTCAGATGTGGAGGGAGAAGTTTCTAGCTCTTGCTCTTCTAACAGCTTCAACCATTGTTAATTGGTGTTGTAGTGTGTGTGTGTGCTTGATGTTGCCCCTCCACCTTTTTCTGGGTCTGTGTTCTTTGACCTTCATCTCTTTTTTCTATTTGCCTTGTATAGTGTGGAATCCCACAACAACCTCTCCAGGTGAGCAAACCACTTCATTTGTTGTCTGTGTTTGTCGTTTAGAACCAGACTTAAACTACACACCGACAGAAAACCATTGTGTTATTATTTGAAGGCATTTACCCAAACCAGCTTCCTCCCATGCTTTTCCCTTTGAAAGATGGAAAGAATTGCTTACTACCCATTCAACCACACACAAGCCTACCCTTTTCTTATATAGATGTGAGAAGACTGAAGATAATTTGCACAGTTGTCAAACATTTCCTTGTCTTATCGCTGGATGATAAATGCTTGATAGTATCCTTCGAATTAGGGCAGCAATTGTTTGCATTTATGTTGTTAAAAATAAAAATAAAACTTTACTGTGAAAAATGATCAAAACATGCCCATAAGAGACAGCGAATACGATTTGTCATTGTGACGAGAAAGCTTTACTTTACCTACTGGAGTTTGTTCCCTGGAGGTATGTAAAAAAAATTTTTTTAAGGCAAGCTTGGATCGAGGCAATAAGAGTGGGGATGAAAATAAACAGTGGTATTAAAAACAGAACTACATTAAAATGACAGAGTGGGCAGCCTAGTACTCAAAATATTTTGGTGAATTCTGGTGATACACATAAGCTACTGCCCTCATTCTAAGCTTTCACTTAAAATAGCTTGATTTTTCATTAATAGTGCTATTACCTTTACTTATAAAATTATTTGCAAGTTGTTTTTTTTTTTGTGTAAAATGTTCCTATTTACTCAGTGTCTCCACCCTGGCAGACACTAGATCAGTGGTGGCTAAANGCAGTAGCCTGCAGTGCTGCATTTAACCACTGCGCCACCTCGGCTCTTTTACCTGACAACAATAAACCTACGCCCCAAAAGACCTGAAAGCCCGTCTCATTCCTAGAGCATTTCACACACTGGGATGTGAGAGCGAAACCTCTGAAAGTGCCAGAACCATCTTGCTTCCACTGACTGCTTTCACACAAGCCTGCTGTGTGTCACATGATTTTGAGGCTTAGCCAGAATCTATTAGTCAGAAGGTTGCACAATCTCTCACTCTCATTTCTCGTTTTAATAGCAAATGAGGATGGTTCTGTTTGAACCTTTAAAAAAGAGAGAAATACAGAGAAAAGAGGGAAAAACCAGGCAGGGAGAGAGTTTCAAGGGGCAGCAGTAGCATAAGAGTAGCAAAGACCATCCGTCAGTGGGGGAACGAGAGCATACTAGTGGTTTATTTCATGCACAAATCAGCACCGGGGTGGGGGTGGGGGTGGGGGAGATAAGCTGACCAAGGAAAGAGAAGGCAGTCCATATTAAAAAATGGGGGAGAAAGACATGAAGGGGATAAGAAAAAGTGATAAAATCATATGAGTTATTGCCTCAGATTACAACCAAGGATATCCCCATTCGGAGAGTTCCACAATTGCAGGATAAATTACAGGAGAGGAACCATTTACTGAAGCATATCTCCTGTTAAGAGAATGGGCATGGAGCGCCACAAAGAAGCTTATCTGAACCTGCGGGGGGTTGGCATTGCAATATAGTTCCCTTTGGGCCTCGCCACTCCCAAAATCATCACCTTCGGAGATATTTTATAGCAATCTACCCTACCCTTGGACATTCAGTTCTAGCTAAGGGAGGCTTACTTGAAAATAAGCCATCCTGGGTTTCGCTGGCCTTACTTAGAAGGAAGGGCATCCAGCAGAAACTGGCACTGCAGTGCTCTTTGTGTGTGCAAGGAGGGCCTAGCCGATGAGTTTGACGCCAACCTAGGGAGCATTCAAGGAAGAGACACTCAACATCCTTGGAGAGAAAACCGAGAGGTCACACAGAGGCTGTTCCTGCAGGATGACGGGCAAGAAGCAGGGAAAAGGTGGCAGAAGCCGGGCCTGGCTGTGCATGCACGGTCTGGTCTTCACTGCAGGGCTTTGGGCATGGAAACCTCTGGAAGAAAGGCTTGCGTTCCCTTCCCGGGCAAAAGCACAGAGCGGGAAGGATAGGAGGGGGTGCCCTTTTGGATGCCAGGATGAGATCTGAAAAAGGAGGGGCTGCATCCCAGCTCCCCCCCAAGAAGAGGTCCTGCATCGCCCCCCCTCTCCCGCCCCGCCCCCCCCAGCATCATCACAACGCCCGGGCAAAGTCGCCCATCATCCCCAGCCAACATGGGATTTGCAATCCAATAGAGAGCGCCAACGTTGGACCTGCTGCACCCAGGAGGAGGATGCCCAATGAACCAATCTTAGCTTTCCCCCTTCCGGGAGAGAAGAAGCCGAGGGATTCCGGGCAAAGGTGACCTGGCGGAATTGCGCCCCCCTCCTCCTCTCCCCGGATCTTTTTCCAGCTTCACCGAGGGCTGAAAGGAGCCTTGGCACTAAGGCGCTGCCGGACCCTCCCCTACTCACTGAGGCGGGGCTGAGAGATGTAATCGCGGGTGACAGCGGCCGCCTGATCCCGCGTCGCGCCTCCGCCGGTCAGCTCCGAGACGGCGCCGTTCACCATCCCCCGGATCGCCCGCATCGCCGCCATCTTGTCCCGTCTGGACTGCCGCGTGACTGCGCACGCGCTGATATAAGCGCTTTGCGTCACCCCCCCCCTCTACCCCGCCCTTTCTGTCTCACGCCAACCCGGAAATCGCCGAGAAGGAGAGGGGCGGGGCAGGAGGAGAGGAGCTGGCCAAAGTGCTGAAGGGGGGGGGAGGGCGCAGGAAAGCGCGAGGGAGACGCGCAGGCAAAAGCAGTGCGAGACGCAGAGCGCAGAGCAGCAGCTCCCCTGTCTGCAGGTGCAAAGGGAAGCCATAGAGGCGAGGAGAGGCTCCCGACTGGGCCCAAGGTGTTCCCTGCCCACCCCAGGTGCTACAAAGACAGGCATGCCTTCATCGGGGATCAAGTTGCATCAGAGAGCTGGGACAGTTAGTTTCCACCAAACCCTGGTACTCAAAGTGGCTAAACTTACCTTCTGTTATACAAATCCTCATCCTACAACAATGAAACGGCCTCTAAGCACCTGCAGAGGGGCTTCTTCAAGTGCCACCTGTACAGCGTAGAGAAGTCAAAGCTCCCAGTCTGGATTTTGCTATTTAAAACAGTGTCATAGAGCAGGGGGATAGGCATAAATATTGTAGTGAATTACTGTGAGGCAAGATGGATGGCTAACACATTTTGTAATAAATAAATGTCCTCCTCTTAAAAGTAAAGGCAAAACTCTTGTTGTAAGATAGATTAAGGTAGCCTTGTCTACCTCTCAGGTTAGTAGCAATCCTTTCAAAGTAAATTATAAGCAATAAACAGTTGCAAATAAAATACAAGCAATAGGAGAGAAAAAGATTTTTTTTAACCATAGGAGAGTTTATGTCAATAGCTCTGCAGGTAGGGGTAGAAACGGGGTGGGAAAAGGCCAGATAAGCAAGTTACTGCAGTGACTACCAGTCTCTTCTCTTAGGCTACTATTCTTCTCTTAGAGTAGTCAGTGGCAATGAGTCCCAGTTACTGTATCTAGAGACTATCTGGGGCTGATGGGAGTTTATTGGGTTTGGGAAAACTGTTTCAAAGAAATAGCACAGAGCACATTTTCCCCCTGAGAGCTAGTAAACCAAAGTAAATACTCTGACACCAAAGCAAGAGACAGATGGAAACTGGGTGAAGAGAAGGTCATTCAGTCTTTTGCATTTGCCTGGCAGAAAGCAGCGTAAGAATTAGAATACAAATTGGGTTTATATTTGATACACAGCCATCACTGGAATTCTTTCATAATGTCTTGACAGCACGAACTTTTCTTAGCTTTTTTTTTGTCCTTGGAAATCTCAAAGGTTTCTTGCTTCGTTAGCTGAGGAAAGACTGATATCTCCATTGCTTATAAATTCCTAGTGTGGCTAGCATTAATAATAAAGGCAAGATCTTTTTTTCTTTTTCCACTGTAATTTTGCATTTGCTTCCCCTCTAGCTGGGTATATATAGTATAAAACTATGTGTTTTCCAATCTCATTCAGCAGCAAGTAGAAGCAAATAGGTTTACAAAGCATCCTTATGCCTGGTCACATCATTGGACTGCATTGTATCAGTCAATATTGCTTCCTACAGCATCCTCTTGAAGCCTTTCAGAAGCATTGCAATCTGACGCTCATTCTGATGAGCATTCATGACAAGGATCTACTTTTTTATATGGAGCTTATACCTGTTGAGAAGGATGTTTTGAATGGATTTAGGTAGGGAACATTCTTGAGGAAGATGGGAATTGAATTTAGGACTTTCTGTAATCAAAGCAGGCCTATACACTTGACCCACTCAAGTAGGATTCTTCCATGTTACAAATTCAGAGAAGCAGAAAAGGAAAGGATGAAGCATCATACTACTTCCCTTAATTTGCATATGGACAACTGGCTAAGTGTCATCCACTTCCTCCTCTGGAGGAGTGATTAATAAGTGCATGTTGCAGACTCACAAATGTGTCCCAATGGAATAAATGTTCATGCGTTTGGTTTGAAAAATACAGATAGTCCTTGACTGACAGCCATACTTACAACCGCACTGAAAAAGTGACCTATGACAGGTCCTCACACCTATAACCATTGCAGGCTGCTTATGAATTAATTTTTCATGGTAGGATCTAAGTCCAAAATAGTCTTCCTCTTCTTTTTCTTTATGATTAAACAGATTAACAATTTAATTAAAAAAAACATGCACATCAATTATCACAATAATCACAATGGAGCTACTGAATGTTGCATACCTGACCTATAACTGATCTATAACCAATTGGACTCTCACACAAAGGATTTATTTCACCCATTTTATTATTTTCTAACTTGAAGCAGTCATTTTTAAACATGTTACTAAATTGAATTTATCATTCTTTTACAAAAATAGGTCCTGCAGAAATTAGTGTATGTATGTATGTATGTATGTATGTATGTATGTATGTATGTATGTGTAATTAATTGGAATAACATAATGATTATTGGGTATTAATATAACTATTTTTTAAAATATTGTCTATTTCTATTAGACAAAAATTAGATGCAATATTCAACTCCAACTGTTCTTTGAAAGGACAGCTACTGAATGGCTCAAATACTTTGATCACCTAATGAGAAGAGAGGACTCATTGGAAAAGACCCTGATGTTGGGAAAGACTGAAGGCAAAAGGAGAAAGGGATGGGTGGGGAGGGACCTTTGCAGCTTGGAGGGCCTTCCGGGATGCATTGGTGGCTCATTTGTGGCCTCATTCCAGTCGTGCTCTGGGTGGTGGCTCTGGCCTTGGCATCGGGGTTGGGGTCATGCACACAGATGCCATGTGACACATCCCTCTGCGTTTGTAGCATTTCAGTGGACTTCACGGGGGGGCTGAGTTCAGGGCTGTGTTGCTGTGGGTCCCTGTCAGCTGTGGGGTTTCAGGTTGGGTTGACCTCTCTCTTTTGTGTCTGGTGGCTTTCTCATGTTGTTAGCGCACAATCCGCCACCGACTTTTATTGCTACTCGGAACCACTCAGAAAGTTGGTTTGGGATGTCACGGTAGGCTTCCCAAAAATCCCCTAATTGATTCATGTGTATCAAGTCCAATTTTAATACAAAACTAGTCATTTATTAGGTGCATCATAGGCAAGATCTTTTTGTAGTCAAATCTAAACTTTGTTTTATTTACAGATGAACTTTACCCCTGTTCCTTCCCTTCCCTCAGCCTGTGTCATAAATCACATTCCGCTATGAGATGCACCCGTCCCAAGCCAGCTGCAGTAATCTGACATCCAACTTCAGCCGACAGTATGCATGGAATGCACTCCCCCCCTCTCTTACTATGACAATGTTGGGAGTTGACACTTAGTAGACAGCCAGTTAAATATGAGCCAACAGTGTGCAGTGGCAGCCAAAAAACCCCAAACAATGCAATCCTAAATTGCATTAACAGAGAGATACAATCAAGATCAAGTGAGGTACTAATACCACTCTATAAAGCCTTAGTAAGACCACACCTAGAATACTGCAACCTGTTTTGGTCAACACACTATAAAAGAAATGTTGAGATTCTAGAAAAAGTGCAGAGAAGAGCAACCAGGATGATTAGGGGCCCTGAGACTAAAACATATGAAAAACGGTTGCAGGAATTGGGCATGGCTAGTCTAGTGAGGAGAAGGACTAGGGGGAGACATTATAATATTCTAATATTCGAGGGGCTGCCACAGAGAGGAAGGGGTCAAGTTATTTTCCAAGGCACCTGAAGGCCAGACAAGGAATAATGGATGGAAACTGACCAAGGAGAGATTCAAACTAGAAACAAGGAGAAATTTTCTGACAGAACAATCAACCAATGGAACAGAAGTTGCCTTTGGAAGTTGTGGGAGCTTCATCACTGGAGACTTTTAAGAAGAGATTGGACTGCCACTTGTCGGAAATGGTGTAGGGTCTCCTGCTTGGGCAGGGGGGTTGGACTAGGTGACCTACAAGGCCCCTTCCAACTCGGTTAATCTGTAAACTGTAAGCCCAATCTAACCCTTGGTTGATATGGAAAAGGATGAAGAGGAAGTGCTATCTACAATGCTTGGAGAAAATCTAAGAGTTAGGTAGATAATTTAGACCTGCCTACAAATAGCCACTGCACATAAGGTTCACACAGCAATATCGTTTTTAAAGCAGATAGAAAAATATATAATATAATATTTTGTTTCCTTCAAATGCAGCTTCTCCTGTGGAGCAACCCAGCTTATGTACACATAAGCAGAATACATTTAGATATGATTCTCTTTGCAAATTCATTTCCTCCCTTATTTTATTTGTGTAGGTTCTCTGTATGGGCGGATAGGCTGTCATCTTCCAGGTTATCTTTCCCACTCGTCTACAATTTATAACAGTATGTTTGTTCTTCAGAGGTTTATTAGTCTTATGGCTGATATCTAATCCAATATCTGAGTAATAACAGTGTCTGGCTCCTATTATAATTTGCAATGGCAATGCTACCCTCTTCAGTGTACATTTGGTTAACGTCAGTTGCTGCCACCAGCCTTTCCCTCTTCACCCCAGCTAAAAGGATTTCAGATGATTGATTCAAAGCCTTTCCATCCTACTCTTCAGCCAGTTTGCCTTGATGTTGCCATCAATTTACAATCCAATAATTTATCAATATGAATTGATGAACTGAGCTGTTTTTGCCTGTAAAGTTTGTATATATAAAAAAGCAAATTCGAACCATTTTTAGCCTTTTTCTTCTTTTATAATTGTGTCTATTCTTTCTTTATTTTTCTGGATTTAGTTAAAAAAAGAATGAAGGGGAGGGGACAGAAGGCCACCTCTGAATTTATATTTACACTCTAAAGCAAACAATAGCATAAAAGGAAAAAGAGATGATGGGAAAGAGGAAAATGACCCAAATCAGGGCCAATTCTTAGGGTCCTATAGAATTTTTTAAGCACAACAGAGTACAAAGTGAGTGGTATAAATATAAAGGGAAGAGAGGGTTGTTTACTGCACCAGCTGAATATGTACGCATAGTTTAAAGATTGGAAGGGACAAAGGTTGCTGGCTTTTCAGCTGAGCTCATACAATAATCTTATTTCCTTTAGCTCTTTGCTCTAGCTGAATGCAACAGCTGCAACTGGGTTTCTCAACCATGGGAACTTGTAGATGTGTGTACTTCAACTCCCAGAATTCCCCAGCCAGCACTCACGTGTGAACAATTCAGTGTCTAGGACAGTGTTTCTCAACCTTGGCAACTTGAAGATGTCCGGACTTCAACTCCCAGAATTCCCCAGCCAGCACTCAACTTCTGGGAATTGAAGTCCACATAGCTTAAAGCTGTTGAAAAACATCAAATCCAGTGGATTATGGAGAGGCAAAATCCAGTGGAGCTGATTCTCTGCAGGGCTTATGCAGACTCTGCTATTCTTTTTCCCTCCTGCAATGACTGCTAAAACACCTAACTATGTTCGAAAAACAACAGTAGCATTGCTGCAATCGGTTTGTCAAAGGCTGCTCTTCCCAGCACAAAATTATCTAGATGTTTTGGTATGTCAATTCTTAGAATTCCTAAACAATATGGTCCAATTGTTTGAGCTGGATGAGGCTTAAAATTGACAGATACTTCCTCTTATCCCTTTGTGGTTTTCCTCTGTCATGTTTTTCTTGGATTAAACTACTCTATCAGAATGAATTGGGGAGAATAGTTGTTGATTAAAAGAAGGGAACAAATTAGATGAAGGGTAATTAAACTTACATTCAAGATGTTGCTCACCACTGCCCTTATTATTTGGGGCAGTTTCTGGAGAACTTTAGATGGCTGCTCCTAGAATGTCCAAGATAAGATTGTTTAATTCCCTTCAATTCTGTAAATCAGTAATTTTGCTAAAATTATTTAGAAAGGGGATGTAGAGAAGGAATATTGTATATGGAAGAATATCAGAGTGTTCTGAATATTCCTATGGGACCTGGGATTTTGTTGTCTGTTCCTCTTTGAGCTGGGATAGAAGTATGTACTTTAGAATGATAAACCCTGACTTTAAAATTGGATATTTTTGAGGTGGATCTTAATGCCAATCATCTCAGTAGTCTACCTCCCATTTCCCCGGCTTTGACGCAGATGGAGCTGCTGAACTGATTGGGGCATGTTTGAGCTATCAATTATGCCTTCCTGGTCAAGAAATCCTCATATCCTTTTCAGATAAAAAAGAATATTAAATTCACTTGACGAAGCATTGTCAGGGCACTGTGAGAAAGCACCAGGAAGACAAACAGTGATATATTCAAGAACGGTAAGGACTCTCCATTTCTCAATATTGAGAGGTATGACAGGGTGGAAGCTGATGAGGCAACTCGACACCTAATGGAAGGAAGGAAGGTTGGTTGTTTAAAAGTGTCATTTGACACTTGCATAAACTCAAATCCAATGAGTTGTACTAACTTCTAATATCTCTCTTTCCTATGAGTAATATTATGAAACTTCTAAAACACAAATCTTATTAAAAGACAATGCTTTTAGGTTGTTCAACTCTAGGTATCCCAGTGGTTTGCTAGAACCCTTCTTTAAAGAAAGGGTAGGACAATGCAATAAGTTGAATTAATTTGGCACAACTTTCTATGCAAACTTTCAAGTTATACCTATAGAGATTCTTTTGTGATTGAATGTTTTGTTAACTGTGGTGATGGAGAAGACCAGTGATTGCTGCTTGTAACCTTTTTAAAATAAACTTGTCAGGATTGATCAAACCTAAAAGAATAAGCCTCTGCTAACTGCTCATTCTGAATAGTTTTCAGTTCATACTGCAAAGGATTAAAGAAACAATAATATATGTGTGTATGTTTGTAAGTCTGTACTTGGCTATAATGCCTGATTCACACTAAAACAACTGAAGAAGGCAGAAGCTGAACTCCAACCTTCTTATTGTTAGTTAATTTAAAAAATTCATTCATATTTTGGTGATGCTCCATGTTCATTCAGGATCCAGAATAAGGAAAAAATGATACTTTAGCAGTCATTCAGGTCTGTATATTTATTTTCCCTTTTTGTTTTCTAATGTGCTCTTTTCAGAAGATTCTTTCAGAAATCATTTTGGACTTTTATATGGATGTTGCACAATAATTTGGATCAGAGGTAACAAGAGCAGCAGTTAACTGGCTAACAGAATTATCTGTTGTATTTTTTCATTTTTTTCTTTGGGAAAATTGATCGAGAGAGCCATCTGTATATCTGCGAAGGGTGTGGGAATCAATATCCCTATTAGGTCAATATTTTATTTACTCAACTCACCGGCATGAAATAAAATCTGTACGTTCTTGATAAACATTTTGAGAAAGTTTTGCATGCTGTTTTGTGCCTTGTGACTAGCTGCAAAAAGTGGTGGTCCTTAAGGCAATTTTGGGACTGTCCTTTTATATTATTGATGCTGGAGTTTGGGTGGACATTTTGCTAAAACCTTTCCCTTACAGGATACACAAAAATTTAAATTCTAAGAAGCAGTAAAAAGAAACTCGGAAAATGAAGATTCGACTCTTTCCTAACCTAGCAACTGAATGCTCCCTGTGGCTCTTGTTAAAAGAGGGAAGAGAATCCCGGAAATTGGTTTTACTGGTTGTGTTTGTGGCTCTGCTAGTAGACAATATGCTTTTCACAGTTGTGGGTATGTAGTGTTTTGGTTTGCTCATTCTTCTTAAATGTGGAGGCTTTTATGTTGCTTTTATACTGCTTTCTCTCACACAGCAGCTTATTTCAGCAGCCACTTCTTAATAGTATCCATTCAATTACACAGAATTCCTCATACATCATTGTTCAAGGGCATTGTGAATAAAATAATATTGGCTGCCAGTTGGAATGATATTAGTTGCTGTATATATTCATGTACAAGCAGATAACCTTATTAGTTACAATATAACTTGTGTATGTGGATATACCACACCCTATTTTTCATGGTACAGTATATTGGTTAAAGATTTAAGGGTTTGCTTATCTGTGGATGGGTGTATATGCATATGGAAAACATGGATGCTGTAGTTTAGAAAAAGTGCCATTATGTGTACTTGTGGATAAGTCCATCTGTAAATGGTAAATTTTCAGGTTTATCCCAAAGTTTATACAAGTTTATATCCCAAGTTTGTATTTGATTGCCCTCATCCCAAACCTAATCAGATTGCCCTGCAATATAATGAGTGTGTATACCAGAGGTGTCCATCTTTGGCAATTTTAAGACTTGTGGACTTCAACTCCCAAAATTCCCCAGACAATCATGTATAAGTGTTAAAATTACCAAGGTTTGACACCTCTGTGTATGTGTTTGTGTGCATAGATAAAAAAACAGTTTGTAGAAGGCAGAAAGCAAATACATTTATGATAAAAAGAAAAAGGAAAACTTTTTTTTTGCAGGAGAAATATTGCCTAGCTGTTTTCTTTTTTTTCTTCAGTGCCAATCATCCCTTCATTTCTATATGACACACATCAAATTGTCAGCCACTCTGCAATTCGGGCCACACTTCCAAGGGTTCCTGTGCCTTTCTCAGCTGATCCCTCTACTTTGGGCTTGTTGGACTATGACAACATCACAATGACAGTCTCAAGCTATGATACTCTTGCCAGTGCCAATGGGAGCCAAGAAGGAACAGTTGCCTCCCCTTTCCCCATGGATGCTTTGAACCATAGTTGTACAGATGGAACGGACTCTCTTTCAAATGAAAATGTTCGCGTTGGGCTGCTCTTTGCCTCAAAAGCTTTAATGCAACTCATAGCAAATCCCTTTGTGGGACCCTTGACCAACAGGTAGGTCAACTTTTAAACAAACAAATCAGAAAGACTTTCCGTACTGCAACACACTCAATTTGCAAACTTTTCAAATACTCAGTAAGAACTAGTTTGGGCTAAGGGTTAAGCATCAGGTTAGCAAACAGGAGACCCTGACTTCTAGTCCTGCCTTACGCCAGTCACTCATTTTTGGCTTTAGGAAGGAAACAATGGCAAGTCACTTCTGAAGTCTTGCCAAGAAAGAGCTGGCTTCATGCCCAAGGCAGGACTTCTTGTTATTTTAACGAAAAAACTGGGGCGGGTCGTGTCTGAGACGCTTTTTCAAACTACATTTCTGCCCTGGACCCAGATTTCTTTTATCTGACCATTATCTTGCAGCTTTTCTTCCTATTCCTCAAGATTACTTCTTAAGCCTGTTACAGTTGCCATATTTGCAATAGGGCCTCTATGATGATTCACAACAGAGTCAGAAGACATGCGTAATGGCAACTGCAACCTACCATTTTAAAGCATCGCCAATACCTCATTTGATCTGATATTAGATCAACCTAAGGATTTCAGGAAATGAAAATCGTGTCCCCTACTATGATGGATGCTTTAGACACATAGTAGAAAATCTTGTTTCCTTCTTCCTCCTGGTCATTCAAGAAACGTTGTGAATTAGCTTGTGCTGTACAGTGAATTCAAAACCATTTTTTGTCCCTGTAGGATAGGATACCATATCCCCATGTTTCTTGGATTTGTTATTATGTTCGTCTCTACACTATGTAAGTATGAATACCTACACAACAGGTATCTCCTCCAATGTTGCTGGATTTGAACCCATGGGAGTAGAATACAACAGTACCTTGTTCCAGTGGTGAGTTCCTACCACTGGTTTGGACTGGTTCAGCTGAACTGGTAAAGGTATGGTGGCCAGGGTTGCTGGAACAGGCAGCGACCCAGGCCTGCCATGCCCCCGAACTAGTTCCCTGGTCTCTTCTGCTGGCACCGGCATATTTCTGCACATGTACAGAACAGTTTTCAGTCAAACTGCAAGATGCCCTCTCAGCAAACTGGTAGTAAACTGTTTAGGAAGCCACCACTGCCTTGTTCATCCCATTCAACTATGTTTACAGAATAGAGATGTGAACAATACAGAAACCTGTTCTTTAATTTTAGAAAATGTGCAGAGAAGAATAACAAAGATGATGAAGTGTTTAGAGGCTAAATTGTATGATGAACAGTTGACGGAGCTAGGTAGGTCTAGCCTACGAGATGGATTTGGTGGGGGGCATGGTAGCTCTCTTCTATTGTTTGAGGGGCTGTCACAGAGAAAGGGGGATTGAATTATTCTCCAAAGCATCAAGGCTAGGATGGGAAGCAATGGATGGGAGCTTGTTAAGGACAGATCCAATCTAGAAGTAAGGAGAACTTTTCTGACAGTGAGTACAATTAATCAGTGGAACAGTTTGTCTCCTGGAGTTGCAGAGACTCCATTGCTAGAGGTTTTTAAGAATAGGCTGGTCAATCATTTGACTGGGATGATATCATTGTATAAGTCTTGTGCTTTTATCTTTTATTCTGGATTAGAAGACCTTTGAAAACTCTTCCAGTCCCATGATTCTATGTTTGTGGAATAATATTGAACAGTTTTGGTTTTGGGGCAGGCAATCTAGCATCCTGCAAATATTTTGGTCTCCGAATCCATAATATTTTGTGCCTTAGTTACATTGTCTACAGATGCTGGGAGACTAAAATATTAGAACAGTTTGCTTCATCTTGATATTCGTCCAACATAATTCAATAAAATAATATGTAACCAGAATTTCAATGTACTTTCTGTCTTTAAATGTAAATTGGTTGTTCTTGTTATTTTACAAATGACTGTTATTACTCAATTAGTCTATTGAATGGATAACTAGCAGTTTCTGATTTACTTCTCATTTCCCAAAATAAAATCAGTGTTGGCTTAGGCTTCCATCCATTTAGTTTTAAAAACTCTACATGAAAATTCCAGCATATGCATTTCTTCCAGAAGAGGGTTGCTCCTGGTTCAGCCCGGATTGGGTGAATCGGTAGTAGCGGCAGCGGGAGACTCCGCCCACCCACCCGGACACTTCTGCACATTCGCAGAAGCATTGCACATGTGCAAGGGCGCGCCCAAAATGGTAGTAAAAAAAATTGGCAACCCACCACGGATTTCTTCTCCTCTGCATTGCTGTATGTAATTTCCCCCCTATATAACACTTTTTGCAAGTAATCTTCTCCTAATGTAATACATTTTTATTCTTACTTCCTTTCATAAAACTGTTTTGTTCGGAATATTGTTAAAAAAAAATATCTGAAAAATTCAGGTTTTGGCTCATAAAGGTATTGAGGTTCATGAATTGCTTTGGCAAATCAGGCCAATTCATCAACTGCAATCACCCATTCACTGCCAGGAGTTCAATCCCGATTGGCTCAAGGTTCACTCAGCCTTCCATCCTTCCAAGGTTGGTCAAATGAGGAACCAGATTATTGGGAGCAATATGTTGACTCTGTAAACAACTTAGGGTTGTAAAGCACCATGAAGTGGTATGTAAGTCTAAGTACTACTACTCTTTAGCAATGAGGCAATACAGTTCTCTCCAAAAGTCCTTTTTGGAAAGGATCCATAATTCCAGTAATCTGATTCTGCACCTTTTTCTTCCTTTAGTTTTTGCTTTTTCAAGGAGTTACACCTTGATGTTCATCGCTCGAGCGCTGCAAGGCTTTGGTTCTTCCTGCTCATCTGTTGCAGGTAAACATGCTGGCAGGTACTCCTGGCAATTCTATAGATCGTGCACAGCTGGGACAATATCCTGGAGTGCCAGGAGGCTCTTATTTATTAATTAAATAGATTTATATGGCTGCCCAACTCACACTTGGTGACTCTGGGCAGCATATTGTATTAAAAATCAACAATACACCCCCCCCCCTCATTGCAGTGGTGATGAATACAATCATATAAACCACACACTAAGCTTTGAATGAACCTGGAGTCTCCAGACTGATTGACAAAATCATATCTCCAGGGCCTTCCAGAAAAGTAGCAGGGAGAAGAGTCAATCTTATTTCAGTGGGAATGTTGTTCCCACTGAAGGAAGGAGCCACTACATAGCAGGCCCTTTTTCTAGGCTCTATTAGGTCTACTTTTTTAATTAGATGGGACCTGCAACATTCCCTGACTTCTCACTCTGATGGGTTACATCCTGAAAGTGAAAGCCCTTGTTTAAATTTGGCATCTCCAGTAATGGACAGGAAAGTTGCCTACCTGGAATCTTTGATTGTTGCTATTCACATCACTTAGCTGGATGACCAAAGATCTCATTCCTTGTTCTCAAACAAGGGACCAAGAAGGATATGCCTCCTGCAACATATAATTTCTATATCAGTTCTACTTTACGTCTTGGAGTAAAGAGGCTGATGCTGAAATTATAAAGGGAAAATCTATTTATTGAGTTGAAAAAATTGGGGTGATAAAAGAAATTTTTTAAAAAAGAAAATCTTCAATATTGGAGGAGGTTTGGGTGGAACATTGGGGAGCATACAGTCTCCCTTATCACACATGAAATCGCAGTTTCCACAACAGCTAGTGGTGTTGGGGAAAAGGAGAATGCCATAGACCATGAAGGTAGTCTCAGTCTTTCATTTCTGCACAGTGCAATAATTCTAACACTAACCCTTGCCTGTTGGTTATTTCCAGCAACTCAAAACTGATTGGCTCCACTCTGTCTCTGCCTGCAGGTCTGGGGATGCTTGCAAGTGTGTACCCCGATGACTGTGAGAGGGGAAATGCAATGGGAATAGCATTGGGAGGTCTGGCTTTGGGAGTGCTGAGTGAGTAAATGTACATTTAATACTGTTTAGGGGACCTAGAAACTCAGGCAGGGAGTTTCTAGGTGCATCTCCCCAGCTGCTTCCCTTTAGGACTGTTCATTATTCAGTTGCCTTTCTCTGTAGTTCTCTGGTAGATCTGCTGTATACCCAAATGGGTCTTTGCATGTAACCACGATCTACTATGGATTATTGCTTAGCATTCCTGGAAGAGAACAAATGAAGAACATTGCCGGTTCTCAAAGCAGGTGTGCAGCGAACTGGCAATAACGTTGGCAGCAACCCACCCCTGCTAATAAGGTCACCGAAGGCATGAAGCTCACTCTAGTTTACACCTCCCAAACACAAGTAGGGTCTATATTGGGTAGCAAGGATATAGGAAGATCCTGGAAGGTGATCACTTTAGTGATAATAGTAAAGACTTCATTTTCAACCTGCTGGGAGAAGGCAATGATAAACCACTCCTGTATCTGACCAAGAAAACTAAATGGCTGGACAATATGGTGTCCTATCAGGGGTGGGTTCCTGCCAGTTCTAATTTCTTCTATAGAAGAGGTTCCACAAATCTACAGTGCTGTTTAGAACTGCTTCCAGCTCCCTCCGCCCTCCCGTCTACACATCATCAAGATGAAGAGCGAGAGGAGGAATTCTGGGAGTTGAAGTCCACAAATCTTAAAGCTGTCAAGTTTGAACACCCTGGTTTTTTTTTAAAGGGTTAGGGGTGCAAGGGTCTTGTAACTTGACAGTTTTAAGACTTGCGTGCTTCAATGCCAGAGTTCCTGAGCCAACATGACTAGAGGAGGAATTCTGGGAGTTGAAGTCCACAAATCTTAAAGCTTTCAAGTTTGAACACCCCTGGGGTTTTTTTTCCTAAAGGGTTAGGGGTGCAAGGGTCTTGTAACTTGATAGCTTTAAGACTTGCGTGCTTCAAATGCCAGAGTTTCTGAGCCAACATTTTGGTTGCTAAGCAAGAGCGTTGTTAAATGTTTCATCATATTTTACAAGTTGGCCACGGCCACCCAGTCACATGACTGCCAAGCCACCCCCAATTCGGTCACATGGCTGCCAAGCCATTCCCACCCGGTCACATGGCCGGAAAGCCACTCCCACAAAGCAGGCCACACCTACAGAAGAGGTTCTAATTTTTTTTGAAACCCACCACTATGTCATATATTGGATGATGCTCAACATGCTACTGAAGTTCTTTTGAAGTATTAGTGGCACTTATAATGCAGATTGTTGGTGATATTTTTATCTATTTATTTCTTAAATTTATATGCTGCCCACCTCACTGATAAGGCAACTCTAGTAAGACTATGTTGATATGCAGGAAGAGAAAATCCAAACCTGGAAAATCAGAAATTGCAATGGGAACATTAAATATTAGAAGCATGAACTTGGGGAAGTTCAACACAATCAAAGATAAAATGAATTGACCACACACTGACAGGTGTGTTATATGATACGAACTACAAATAGGTTGGAACTAGAAACATTTAGTCAGAAGATCACACTGTTTACTACATAGCACAACAATGACATGAAAGAAGGAATATTGTAGCTTTGACAGTCAGAAAGATATAGTAAAGACAGTTGGCCATAATGTATACTCAATGGCCAAATATTATCAGGTAGATCTCATGGACAATCCTTGTCTAAGTTATCCACTGATGCAGAAGACAAGGAAATAGATGAATTTTATCATCAAGTTCAATCACATCCTGTAAAGAAAGTGTGTTTTTATAGTTTCATACTATTGAAAATAGTAAAGTGGTTGGACTGTTTGGTCTAGAAAACAGAAATGAAGCAGGAAAAGAACAGTTTGCCAAGCAACTAACCCCAAATGCAACGTAGCCTATACTCATAGACCTGTTTTATTATGTGTGTCTCTTTTCATATTAGCACCACTGATGTGTTTTCTTTGCAGTGGGAGCCCCATTTGGAGGTGTGATGTATGTGTTTGTTGGGAAATCATCTCCTTTTCTGATCCTGGCAGTCTTGGCTCTCTTAGATGGAGGTAATGTAAATCATCCTTTGAAGTAGTCAGGTCAGGGCCCACCTTAAATCATTGAGCTGGAAAAGACAGCTCCAGCCGCCAATTTGTCTGTGAAATATATGCCATATATGAGCATAGTGAGGCTTCCTTCTCAGAAAACATCCTAAGAAGATGGCAAGGGAGAACTGAGCTACTGAATAGAAATAAGATTGAACATAATGGAAAGATGGAAAGGTATTTCCAAGCATGAAATAATTATATTTCTGTTTTAGCTTTGCAGCTTTGTATCCTGCATCCAACAAAGATTTCACCCGAGGTAGGGCAAAAACACCCATTTATGTTTCCTTTTATGTATGTATTAAAATATTTTTACCCTACTTGTTGATGCAAAGGATCTACACATCTATTTACTTTTACTTTTTAATGCAAAATAAAATGACTGTTTAAAAGCAGCAATCTAAAAATATCAGATTAGGAGTTATAATATCAAGAGTAAACAAGCATTTTACTCAGAGCAAAAATAGAGGAACTCTGAAAGCTGCTAGAAAAGTAGGCCTTTTTTTGCAACAAAACAAAACAACTCCAATTAACATCTTCCACTGAAAGATATCTGTCTTCTCTGTGTGTTTTCCAGAGTATCAAAGGAGCCTCCTTGTTGACCTTGTTGTGGGATCCCTACATTTTGATTGCAGCAGGTAAGTTTTATTGCCTGTTATGGGCATTTGGTCTTGAGGATACAATAGCCATCATCTCAGCTTAGCTTCTGTGGAACGGAGGTGGGTTTAGGGAAGATTCTTCTGATCACCAGCATTGCTTATTGTTTCTGGTCCTGTCTGCCAGAAAAGTAAAGCTGTATAGTTGAAGATGGTTTTACATCTCTCCAAACAAAATGCACCCTACTCTTTCTATTGTCCCATGTAGCAGATGTAGAATCAGAGAGTCTAAAGTAGAAGAAGATCAGGCAGAGCCGAGGGCAGAGTTAAATAGGTCATCAGCCTAGAGTTGTGTTCTTCATACAAATGGTCTAGGTTCAACACTTCTTGAATTCTCTTGACTCTTTATCTAGTATCAATTTAGTGCTGAACATTAGTTGACTAGATTCTTGTGTATAGGCTTGACCAATAAATCTTATTCACTGCAACTTAACATATGGTCCTGATTCTTTGCACCTGACAGTATTAGGTCATTGCATGCAGTGCAGATTTCCAAATTAATTGCTGTCCAACTTCTCATCCAACACATCCAATAAATGTGAGCTCAGCCTGTGTAGACAGTTCCATTATCAAACTAACAGAAGAATTGTAGGAAGTTCTTCCTAAAATTCTCTCTGCCTGGTGTTATTAGAGGCGTTATTTTATATTTTGCATTTGCCCTCTTAGCCTAGAGCAAGGGGTCCATTTCTTGGTCTTTTTCTCTGGGATAGCCTTCAGTTATTGAATAAGGATGTCCACCATGTCCACTTTCACGTGGGGATTTGCAAGTCCAAGAACATATCAGTTCTCTCCATCCCTTGTCGTTGGCTTCCAATGAGCCGAGGTGGCGCAGTGGTTAGGGTGCAGTACTGCAGGCCACTTCAGCTGACTGTTATCTGCAGTTCAGC